GCGTTGCATGTTGGAAGTCTAAATTCATGACAAGTGACATCAAAGTTTATCCAATTTTTCATTGATATGGACCTCATAAGAAATATTAAAGTCGAGGAAGACTCGGATCAAGATAGGTTTCTTTCTTCCAAGAGTGAAAGAGTCAATGCAATTAGTACATTGTATAATTGGATGGATGAGAATAACACATACCTCACATTTATAAGAAATCTTGAGTTTGTAAATAAAGATTTTTTTTACCTAATAGACATATCTTTTAAATAGAAAATATGAATTATAACATTAGAGTCATCTCCAAAAAATTATTTTTAATAAAAAAAGAAAAGTTTGATTCTTAATTATTAAAAAATTGTAGTTATAAGTTGATGGCATTAAAAATAGTTTTAAGAAGAGAAAAGAAAAGTTGAGGGGGTGGGGGAAACAAGTGGATTCATTGCAACTAACACCTACGCCCAACTGAAACCGGTGACAACAATTGAAGGGAATTTTTAGGCTTTTCAAGTTTAAATCGTAATGCCGTCATCAATCTTTTAACCACACTTGGTTTTTGGCTTTCCAAACAATTGACGGTTAGGGGTTAACCACAGTAATTCTGTAATCCAAACGGGGCGCAGGACATGATATTCCGGGATTAAGGAACGAATCCAAAAGCCAAAAAGTGGCGTAATGCCATTCGTCTAGGAATCGAAAGAATTATATTTATATATATTGGAGCAACGTGATGCGCGCGGAAGCGTGATGTGCACTGGGGGAGTGAAGGCGCGTGAACAGATAAATGGCTTTAATGAAGTGAGTCAGTAAGTTAGTCAGTCGTTGCAAAATGACATCGAGCCAGCTGTTTATTTACGTAGTTTGCCACTTTTCCCAAGTTTCACGACAATGAGGCCCCTGTTTTTCGCGACAATGATTTGCGGGAGTATGTATTGCCGTCGGTTGAGGCCCTCGGAGTTGTAGAATTTACGTATCCAACGGATAAGGTCGCTGCTTTCATTTTATTATTGTAGGCCAAGTTTCAGGTTACCAACACACACACACTAAATCACTGAATCACCTGTCTGCGAAGGACCATATTGTCTTTTCGTCACATGTTCCATTATTTGTCTTTTTTATTTAGTATTTATTTTTTTAATTAAAAAAAAAACCATTTTTCCTCTTTGATTTCATATGGGCAATTGCTCCGAAGAATCCAAACGAAATCCATCCAAAAGAAGAAAAAACTAATTTGGCTTTCTCAAATTTGATGAAGTAATGATCTGCTGATGCCATGAAAGAAATAATTCCTCCTTGACTAATATTAGTAATCGTGGGTCGGAAAAGGAACAGTACTGCCCTGGACAGCACCTTATTAGTGATATATTACAAGGCAGAACCTCCAATATGGGTGTTGGTTGAATGGGGACTAAGCTTAGGGAAGGGAAAAAGTACATCCCTACCTACCAAATTACCTGATTGGTAGCTGACAAAGCTTTTAAGATGGAAAAAGGGTGCTCAACTCAATCATACCCTTTCTCGTCGTACAACATTCTAAAGCCAACTGCATGCAAAAATGACACAGAAATTCAAGCTATTCCTAAACCATTTGCCTAAACTGTTCAATTAAAAGACAAAAAGCCGTGCTTTGTGTCTTTAAGCATATGACTTGGACATCATTTTACTTGGTTGTCCGGGAATGGAGTTACGTCCCTATACTTAAATTAAGTTTACGTAGAATACAACCTCTTCAATGCAATGATTGTGACATGCTTAACATCCAGGATCCCTTGCATGCTTCTCACCTACTGCCTACCGCTTCCAAATTTATGGCATGGATTTTGTTGGAATACTTTTTAAAAAAAAAAAGAAAAGAAAAGAAAGGAAAACACTCATAAATTTTGTTTCGAATTGGTCATAGTTGGGGCCTATGAAGATCCACCCACATGAACAGACACAGGCACACTTGCTCTTTGACCTCCCCCACCCACAACCCCCCAAACCGAAACAAAAAGAAAAAAAAAAAAGAAATGCTAAGATTGGGTTTCTTCCATTTAATCCAATAAAAACTAATGGTCGGGAGTCAAAATTGGGGACCCATTTTTCCTGATTAGAATTTAAGCACACCATTTTAGTAGCAAAGACCCCTCAGATTACCTTGTCAAGTTACATGGGCCTCATGTGGGCCGCAACATGAAAAAAAAAAAAAAACACAAGTTAGTTAAGCTAAGGTCATCACCTTTTATTCATAATTTTTTGACTCTTACATCCAAAAAAAAAGAAAATTCAATCAGTGGACCCTTTGAGATTCGTGTAACGCGTTTGTGACGACGAAACCAATATATGATAAAATTCCATTAGCACACGAGGGGCATATATTCCCTATCCTAATTACGCGTTTAAGGTATTGCTTTGATTACTTAATCTTCAATTATTTGGATTAATATATGGTTTATATATTTTTGCCCCCTAACCACTACAATATATAATAATAGTGATAATTAGCCCAAATGGCAATCGACAATCGTGCCACAGATTTGCTGTACTTTTTATCACAATTTGATTACATCTATTTCTTTAAACGTTAATCATGGAACATTCCATAGTGAGCCCATTATACTAGTTGATCATGATCTTATTATTATATATAGTGGCAATTCCAATTATTTTAGTCCCATAAAGCACACAAAACCTTAATTAAATATATAATTCTATCCCTGAACAACGGTTCATGGTATCCCTGCCATGTTCCGCAGTTGATATGGTTTTCTTTTTGTCGAAATGGTTATTCTTTCTTTATTTTTATGTGGTTTTGCTCTGTTTGTTAAGCAAGAACAGAGTGTTGCAGGCTAAAAGACAAAGTGAAAGAACATACAAAAAACAACACATGGGAAGCAAGCAGCTTGGAATCTGCATGAAGGGCCATGGCCAGAGTCAAATCTTCACCACTAGTTTTTGAGAACCCAAGTGAACCAAAATAGCTGCAAATATAATATACATATATATATATATATATATATATATATATTGCGGAGATGATTCATTGGAAAGATCAAAAGAAACTTAAAAAAAGCTTTTTCTTTTTCTTTTCTGCACCTAAATTATCCAGGAAAGTTGCAGATTTATTGCAGTACATGGCTCGAAAGCTCTCTCTCAAACTTGCAGTACTTTTGTCAGTGAAAGTGTCGTCATCCTAATAAAGTGCAATTATCCTAATAAAATGGCTGCCCATGCAATCAAGAGCACGTTTAACACCCGGTTTACATTCATTCGTTGCATTACCAACAAACTCAGATTGTGATCCCTGACCTTGAAATACAGTAGTAAAAGCTGTTGAGAGCAAACCGACCAGAGTATCACCTCCTAGAATCTACCATACATTGAACACAACATCAATGAAATCAACGAAAGCTCTCATTCTATATGAAAGATTAAAAAGAGGAAAGCATGAAATTTTGCCAAGTGGAAAAGTTGAGCTTTTTTTTATATTTTCAAATCCCAGAGCTTAAGCTTTTCTGATTAGTTTATTTGATGTTAGCTGAAGAGAGAAGACCCTTTTGGCAGCATTGTCTTGAAAAGTTGTACACTTGCCCACTATGGCATTAACTGTTTTCATGGAATATACATCTGAGGTGAGCCTCTTTTTATGATTAGATTCCTTATTATTTCTTTGCTTTATAATTTTTTAATTAGGGGCTGCTCATGCTGGGTCTGTTATGATAAAGAGGATTTTGCCTTTTTCTCATTGTTGGACCTTACATTTGATCTATCATTCATAAATCACAAGTTTTCTCATAAAAATGAAGTAAAAGGTTATTGATTAGACTCTAAATTGAGTAAATTCACAAGCTCCATGTTTTCTTACCAATGAAGCCTTACTTTGTTTTAAAAAAAATGAAAAAAAGAGCAGTTGGATTAAACAAATATAAACATGTATGTTATAAAACTCAAATTTGGGACAAAAATCCAAATGAAATTGACAGTGAGAGCGCCTTGCTGTGTAGTACTAGCTGTTTATATAAGCATTTAAAATTGACTTAGATTCCCTTTCTTTTCGTTACTTAGAACTTACTAAAGAAACAAAAGCAATAAATGGGAACTCTAAGGAAAGACCCTGAAATGAGCTAACTAAGGGAAAGAGAACTAAGCGAAGAAAATTTTTACCAGGAAGGGTGAAACAGTGATGTTGTTCCAAACTGTGCCTCCAAAAGTGCTGAAGTTGATATAAAAACAGGCCCACATGGGTGATTCTATCATTACTCTGCCAAAAAATAGCAAGTGTGAATGTGTGATATGGAAATATAATAAGTTGGTGATGGAATAGGAGACATAGTCGCAGCCACAAAATCATCAACATGTCCAACAGCTGGAGCCCATCTCACCTGTTTTTGGAGCCATTAATGAAAAGGACTTTGCCACTGGCAGGATATATCAGTTCTCTCATCATCTTTTTCTTCTTCAACAAATTTCAAAATACTTGATGCAATTAGATATGCTTATGTAAAACACCAATGGCAGGATGACACATCACTTGCATACAACTATGCCCTAATCATTCTCTGTGGGCAAAGAAAATTGTTTTTGGTTTTATAGATCTTGGTAAAAGTAACACTGAATGCCGTGGATACTCTAAATTGGGATTTGAAGGATTTTTTCTTTACTTGGGTGTTGGTGTCCATAGGGTCAAAAGCCTCATAGTACAGACACTAGGATTTGAACCCTAGGCTATAGGGTTGCCTGGTCAGTGGCCTGATGACATAAAGCAGGTAATTCTGCCCCACTGTAGGGGGAGAATGCAAGGGGTTCTACTGCATTATGGCTACACCCCTAAAGATACAGACAAATCATTGTAATTATCCTTGGAACAATCAATATTCGCTAACGTGGGAACTCCGGTGATTCTTCCCATCTCCCCTCCTGAAAACTAGTAAACACCCAAATATTAGATGGGCTCATTTTCAAGATTTTGCTAGGCTGTAGGGTAGCAGCCCCAACCCGACATGGGCCGGATCTGGAAAGCAACTCTACTATGCTAATATTTGGCCAGGGACCAAGTGATTTAAGTTTCACATACAAATAACTTGGCATTCAAATAGCATACTCGTAAATGTTTTGGATAGAGAGAGAGAGAGAGACCTTCCCATGTCCAATTGAAACAACATTACATTTCACCGTTCATGGCCCAAAAAAATTATCTTCATCTCCCTTGCATGGAGGGAGAGAGAAATAAAGCAGGCAAGATAATGTTAGTACAGTGAGTTTCAGGTCATATCTCCTACTCTAGCACTAAAATTGAACTATCTGTGAACTATTCGGCAGTCTCAACAACAAAGAATGGGCAGGTCAACACTCGCTTGGAAGAACATTGAAAAAGTGATAAACCTCATCTTCATCAATGACACCAACATCTGTTGAGCAGACAGAACAGCAGACTGGCTTTAATGTTTCTCCACCAGCATCAACTGCTTCATTCTCACTACATTCTCTTCTTCTCTTGCCTTTTTTTGGTTTTACCTTTTCTTGTCTGACTTGGTCATTTTCAATCTTGCAGTTAACAACAAAAACTGCCCTGTATTGAGTCACATTTTTTTCATGCCTGCAAGACCCCGATTAAGCATAGTTATGTCAAGCACATACGCACATCTTGATCCTAGCACAGACTGCTCAATAATGACACGAGAAACAATAGAATCTGTGCATCCCAGTTCATTAAACATTTAATTCTTATATCAACAAAGCTACTCTATGCTTAAAGTGCAAAAAGTTTCTTACTTCCCAAGACAACATAAAAAAAGCAGTATCTCTTAAATACAGAAAACAGGCTTTCCATCAAAGAGCCATATTTAAATTATTAATCACAAGTACTAGCAGAGAAAATGGCATTGCACCCTGCTGGAACATGCATCTCCAGTGTATGACATGAAACGTATTTGCTTCCCTTCTGTTTGAAAAAAGAATCATAACTACATGCAAAGAAAAATGGACTTTGAACTCATGTCCTAATTCCCATAAGTTGTTACCCAAAAGTTAGTTTTAGTGCTTTTTCAATGCATATCTTATTTATAAAAAATATGTGGTAAATTAACAGAACACCCATCAGACACGCATGCCAAATTTCAACTTAACTTGACATCTTCATAAAGAGTACATTCATTTTGCAAGAATTTTATTCACAACTGTTTAAATCAAATGTCTGATTCAGAGAACTTACACAGATGAAACACTGAAACATATCAAATTGACTTGAAGGGGAACATGCATGATTTACCTATACATAACATTAAAAGACTAATGTTTGGTCTAGTCTCATGCCTGATTTTCCTTCAACCTACGAATTGCAATGATGGATAGATCCAATGCACATAGGCATACCTTTGACACTCAAGGCAGAGGGTGGTAAAACAAGCGGGACAGCTAAGCACAGCATCAGAAATACGGCCTTTCCTTTTATTCTGAACCCATAATTCATCTTTATCATCAAGGTCTGGGTCATAGAATTCTGGTTTGATGGAATAGTCTATTTCATCATCGTCAGAAACTGAAAATGCACACAGCATGACCACCAACTCCCATCAGATTATATAAGAGGACACAAGACTTGAATATGCCAATGAAAGACAGTTTCAAAACCACCCAAATTCATCAAGTATTTTGTGAAAGAAAATTTATTTCTTCTTTTTTTGAAAACAAAGCTCAAAAGATTTAGCTGGTTCGTGCTATTGTCAATTCTCACACAACCAAATAAGACGGTGAGCTGAGCAGACAATGAATTAAACCAAAAAAAAAAAAAAACGAAAAGAAAAGAAAGACAGCATGCTTACCATACTTTGGAACTTTTTAGGTTTTAATTACTTAGGAAGACCAGACATGAAATTTAGAGGTAAACAAAAAAAAAAAGAAAAAATTTACATGGTGCTGACGGGAAATATTGTCTTTCACAACCAGTTATTAATTTTGTTAGAAGGGATTAAATTATTAGCTGATAAATGATAACCCAGATAAAAATTCAATAAGGAAGATCAATTTCTTCTTTGGAAACTAGTAAACAAAAATCAAGAATATATATATATATATATATAAAGAAGTCATAAGATTAAAGACAGTAAAGGGAATAAGAAAAAAATTACTGGTTTGCTGGGAATTGGTCGGGGAATCCATTTTTTCTGTTATGGTGTCTTCTTCCATCTGCACTTCTTCTACTGGCTTATTTGCTTTCGTACCTTCCATAGTTCGTCCCTTGGGTTTTCTTCACAGTTCACAGCGCCCAGGCCCAAGGGTTAGATTTGGCCTTCTTCTATACCATTCTATTCTAGTTGCCTTGGATTTGTTTCTAGGACACGGTGAGCACTGAGCTCTAAAACTTCTACCGTTTGAATTAAGGTTACAAATCATGTTCACCTTCAACATCTTATTTATTCATATTTAAACATTTGTTTGAGTATTATATTGCACAAAAAGTAAAAATAAAATTTTCCTTCTTTTAATTAAAAAATAAAATAAAATATAGTATCTCTTAAAGTTTAGCTGAAATTTTAAATAAGTATATTAATTTTCAAAATGAATACTTTATTCTAAAATATAAACACAATCAACAAAGATTATAAAAAAATTAAAATATTTTTTCTTTATTGATTTTAAAAATATTATCATATTATTTTAAAAAATTAAAAAAATAAGGGTGCCTCTCCAAGAAAAGAGAACCCAATTTAAAGCACCGATGCTTCCCATCTAAGGAGCTCATTTTTTTAATTAATAAAAAATTAATAAAATTATATAATAATAATTTAAAAAATTAATCAAGAATAAAATTATTTTTTTTCTTTGTCACGTTATTAAATTGACGAAAATCTTAATAGCTGAACTTAAGTATCTTATGAAAAATTATTTTTTTTGTGATAAGTGTTTAGTTTGAAAACTAATAAATTATAGTATAATTTTGAACAAAACTTAAGAAATGAGTATATTTTATTAAAAAACAATACCCTCCCTTTTAAATTTTAATTGTAATTCTAAATGAATCTATTACTTTTTAAAATAAACACTTCACCTCAAAAATACAAACATCATTAACAAAAATTAAAAAAAAACTTTTTTTTTAATTTTAAAACTTATTATTATATTTGTTAAAAAATTAAAAAAAAAACTCCTTAGGAAGTTTTTTTTTAATTAATAAAAATTAATAACATTATATAATAATAATTTTCAAAATTAATCAAGAATAAAATTATCTATTACTCTGACTACATCAACATTAATGATTGACTAACAACCGGATAATTGGCAAGTCCAACCAAATAATCGAGGCTTCAATGCTCTAATATGCAAACATTATAACCAATATGAATTATTGCATATATCATAATCAAGTCAAGTTGATCTTCCATTTCAATAATACATGATGATAATCAAGCCAAGTTAATACCTATAAGTTAAATTTGATTGATGCTTTTGCGTTTTTCTATTCGTCTTTAATTTTCTATTCATTGTTTTAACTCTTTATTTATTCTAATCAGCCCCTAAATCATCCTCTTAACACCATAAGTGATTCCCACTGCCCACTTCCAGAAAAGAAGATTAGAGTTTAGCCTAACGGGCTTCTTTCTGATATATGAAGCAGAAAAGTAAATACTAGTAAAAACAAACCTTCAATGAGCAACTCTCCTCATGAACTGCATTATAGCATCAGAGGTTGTACCAGAATCAAAAGCAGTAAACTAGTATAACTATAATTCATTCTAAATGCAGCAATTGGGAAACTGTCTACTCCTTGAATGTCAATCACATACCTTCCTCAGGTTAGTGAAACCCTTCCAACACTTGATAGCTCTACAACACCACAGAAACAAGCAAAAATCATTTACCTGTCTACATTACTTCTCTGGTGGTTCAATGATGTTTCCCGACCCATAAACAATCTTCTTGTTTATTTTCATATAATAATAGATTGCTGATATTAGAAGAGAATTGAGACAAAACTAAAGAATCTATACAACAATGTATGAAACAGTAAATGATGCCGTCATAGACAAACAAAGCTGTAAAAAATTCAGATGTATATATAATACCAAACAGCAAACCTAAAGACTTTTTTAAAATTAACCACACTAATCTTAATTCTCCATGTTTACACATAACTCTGCTTTCCAACTTTGAAGCGGCTGTTCTATCACCATATCTCATGAATGAAATGCTGATATTTTGCTGCATTTCAAGCTGCCAAAATCAAATCCAAGTTAGGATGTCATTCTACAAATAAGACTCAAGAAAAAGTACATTCAAATTGACCACAACATTGCAAGCAGGGTATATACATCTGCACCACCAAAGTTGAATGAAAGTACTACTGCACCATGCAAACATATGTGCCACCAAGAGAAGGTACCTTCAATTTCTAATACATGACAATATACTTCTAAGTCAAGAAACCAATAATTTCTGTATCCGTGATTTTTTCCTAACTCCAATGGTTAAAGCATCAAAACCACCCTTTTATCTTTCCACCTTTCCATCCAGCATAGCCATAATTCATGAGCAATCAAGTATGCAGGCCTTGGCGATTAACATTACGTCCTTTTAGCAGAATAAAATTGCTTTTTATAGACTAAATCCGCTAAATACTCAAGTTCTTTGACCAGGACAAATCAAAACAAGTATAGCTTCAGACAGTTGTGTTGCTAATAATATGGAACGATTGCAACAATCGGTCTTCATCGAAAAACAGACAACAAAATTTTAATCTATTTTGGAATGTGAGATAAACACCTTTTTTGGTTGGTTATAAATTGAACTTAAACCCATCCCCAGATCCAGCGCAGCCTAACATTTTAATTACAAATTAATTCTCTTTCTGGAAAGCATGAAGAAATTAAGAAGCTTCAACCTCCTTACAACGTTACAATTAAGGGAAGAAGCATGCATCGAGAGGTAGATTTATCTAGCAAGCATGTATTATCAAAAAATGTCAACACAACCAAGCATACCGTATTCAAATCCCGATTGATTCATTTATCACTATTTCAACAAGATTCAGATTAACATTGGCAAGTATTTAATGCAAGAAAAGACACAAGCAGCAATAAAAGTGAACAATCAAAAGCTATTTGCCACTCTCAGTATCAAGATGTCTATGACAATACAGCCAAATATTACCAAAGCACAAAATTAACAGTAGAAAGAAAAATACAAATGGCTTAAGGGCCCATCAACTAGAACCACAAATTTCTTCAGAAAACAAGACAAAATTAAGACAGAAATATCAAATAACATGTAACACAACCTGGACATTACAAGACTGTTAAAACTTGCCCGGAGTTTCTTCCATTGAATATGATGTTAGTGTCACGCGTTCTCATACTAAAAGTATATACAGAACTTAAGTTTCTAATTTTTATTCCTGACTCTTGCCACCAATCTTTTCTCTCCAGACTTCTTTTCCATGTTTTCCTTTACCTTATGACCTAAATCAAAAGTTAATCTAACTTCTAGTCTTAAGTTGGGAGGAACACCTCAATCAGTTACCAGTATTCCAGAAGAAAATCACATGGTTCTATAATCTTTCTGAAAACATATCTTGCTTCAGCTACCCATCATTCAATGCCCCTGTGATTTATACCTTTATTAAGCTCAAAGATCTATTATCAACTATAGGTGCAAGCTCCACCTTGGTATCCAACATTTACATATTATTAGTTCCCACCACCTCTGCCCTGCAACATATTGAACACCAACCCTTTCAAAGCTAATATGAGTTGGATTCTTTGCAAGATATACTGACTAAAAGCATAAAATGTAAATAATACATTGTCAACAAAAAACTTGTCACAAAATATAATACTAGTAACTACATAGTTGTGAAACAATAACTTAAGACAACAACCACCTATAATACCCTCCAAAACAAACATGGCCATCATCAATATAAAGAACAATAAAAAACTAATAGAAGTGCCAAAATGGAAATGCACCCTTGACTGAAACTGGCAAAATTGTTAGCAACCATATGCAGGCAGCGTATATTTGTGAAAAGTTAAACTAAAAAACCCATACCCGTTCCTCCCTTTATTATTGTAACTTTATAATTTCCATATTGACAGCTAAGGTACAATTTGGTTATATGAAAAAAGGAATGACAAGAAATTTTTGATGCTCAAGCAAGTTCAGAATTCCTCCTTTCCCTTGAACTCCTAAAATAGGGATTAAATATGCTTAGTGAGAAAAATGGTAAGGGTCTTCATCTCCACCTTTATAACTATAGCAACTATACTCTTATTATAGATAATGACCAAGTTGTATGTATATTGAGTGCATAAAACGAAGTACTAATAATCTCAAATTCTGACTATAGCTGTGTGAGTTTGATTAGTGATGTTTTACAATATTTTGATAAAGAAAAGACAGATATGGTTTGGGAGGCATCATAGTTTCCGTCACATCAACAATAAATGCAACGAAATAATCTAAAAATCCTTGCAGGAATAACATTTCACAGTCTGGGACTTCCAAGAAAACAATGCATATGATTGATTACTTTGACGAACATTTTCCTATCAAATTCACATAAATTACACATGTAACTGGTTGACCAAATAGTGCCAGGTCCTAAGAGTCTAAAAGAGCATCATCACATGGATGAAAATTCAATATTCAGTCATG